AGGAGCAGCAGCAAATCTTCCTGAAGCATGCAGTATGATTTTTTTAGTTGTCAGAAAGATGCTTAGACCTGAAAAACCCCTTAGTGGAAATGGTGCCAGAAGCAATGTAGCAAGTCTGGATTTGTAAATTTGCTGAGGTTTATAAATGACTTAATTTGCACTACGTTTTCTTTTTACCTGTAGTTTAATACACATACACTGAGGGCATTTGTTGCTGTTGGAGGTTCCCTTTTCCTACACAAAGCATAAAGTAAAGGTCCTGACTGTTTGCCATAAAAGATTTCACTGCACTGAAGCGGAGTTGTTATTCTTAGTGTCCTGATTGCATTTCAGTTTTAGGAATTTATACTAGCCAAATTTTGCAGTCCTTGCATAGACCAAAGTCAGTGGTATTTGTATATAAGTTTGTGTAGGTATAAGCAATGAGTCAGTGCTGTAAGATTTGCATTCAGTCTTATTAAAACGTCCCAGCAGTTTTGATCGGCTATCACAGGCTTCTTCACTTCCTGTCTTAAACTGTTGTGTACTATTGGCCTGAGCTCCTAAGTAGCTGTCAAACACCAGACATTGTTGCATTTCAGTGGTGGGAGTAGTGAATAATGGATATACCATATCTCTTTGAAGCCAGTTATGTTTTAGCATTCTATGTGATCGAGAATATTTCTCTGCAAGATACTGAAGATTCACATTTAAAATTTTATCAAATAAATTTAAACATTATAATTTGATTTAATATTCACAAATGATAGGAGATGTATTTTCTGCCTACATAGATCCAGCAGTTTTACACCTTTAAGACAAGCAGATGCAGAGATAAGACATCCATCAGTGCTTGCTACATTATAAATATTTTAGATCAGCATTTCCCAAAGCATGGAGGATGTTTTTTCAGGAGGGAGACGAGCAGTGCAGAAGACTAACCCTGGGTTTAGAGAGAAATAATTTGAGATGGGTGATCTTTTAAGAACATACTGCAAGATTCTGACACAAGAGAAAGGGCACAATTGATTGCATTTTCCTGACAAATGGCTCCACTCTCAAAAGGTGTGTTATGGAAACTATTCTGCTCTACCTTTTTTACTACCATGTAATTTGAAGATTAAAATTAAACATGGTTTTGCCATCTGATAATAATGGTTGTTTGTGTGGCATTCTGTTCCTAGATCAGTCATACTGTGATCGGCTACGACAGGACATGTACTTTCTTACAAGCAATGGCCAACTGAGTGAGCACCTGGTTGATAAAATTATTCTTCAGTTGAACAGAGTCTACCCCCAAATTCTCACTAATAAAGAAGCAGAAAAGGTAATTAAATGAGTTTTACTGCAGCATGTAGCATATTATTCTGGCTGCCACGCATCTAGTTTAATTCAACAACTGGTAGATCTGCCACATACTAAACTCAGGAGACAAATTCCTAAATATTTGACCACTTGTCCCATTTTCTTTTTTTACTACCAAAAGTAGTAAAAGTTAAAAAGTAGTTAAAGTTTGTAGTCAGTGATGTGGTATTTGAGTGCCTCATGAGAACTAAGGAATTCATCCTGGTAAGATCCCTGCATGGTTAGAAAATATTATGATGTCCATTTTAGTGATGAGAAAACAAGGTATTGTCTTCAGTATTGGTTGTATCATTTTGATGAATGGTGTGATTTTTTTTTTTTTTTTAAACCAGTTTAAACTCCTGGGTTAAATCAGAATAAGCCAGATTTAAATTGACTATCCCTGAATTTCTGTAGGTAAGTCAGTTTAAAAATAGACCTCTAGTTAAACCTGTACAACTTAGAAGAGAGACCAGGCTTGAGACGCAGCCAAAATTTTCAAAAGTGCTTACTGGTTTTGGATGCAAAATCATTGAAGTCAGTACATAATAAGTGAAATGTGGATTTTAAAAGCCAGCAAATCAAATTGGTAAGTTTGTTCTTATTGGCTGTGTCTACGTGACTGTGCATATATGTGTTGCGGCGTCTCAGACAACCTTGAGACGATGCAGAAGACACACCTGCATAAGAAAATGTGCAGCATGGATTCTAAATTTGATACTGGGGAATCCCGGTATTAAAAAAAATGTGCCAGAAAAAGGTTCCCTGGGGTGCACTCTCAGAGCATGCCTGCAAGCAGCTGGAGGTTGGGTCTTCAAAGGAGACACTCTGACAGCTGGCCCGAGCGTCTCTATGGCTGCTGTGCTCCACTGCTGCTCTAGCATGCTGCCTCAGTGTGCTGGAGAAAATAAAAGCAAGTCATGGTTCGCAGCAGCTGCAGGCGGCGGATCCTTGGGACGCTCATGGCCACGTCAGGCAGAGCCCTCCAGTGGCACGCAGCTCCAGCTGAGTCCCGGAAGTTGCACATGTGTGGGGTTTGTGGGGGATGGGTGTGTGTGTGGGGTTTGTGGGGGGTGGGGCCCCCTACCACATGCCCCCGACCCCCCCATGCTGCACAGTTCCTGCTAGCAGCAGCAGGAGGTGAGCCCTCAGGGCACTCATGGCCCGTAGCAGGCAGAGCCCTTGGCAGGACATAACTCCTAACTGCACTGCCAGGAGCCCCATATGCTGGCACAGAGCCAGACTAGTCTGGTGTGAAGGCATCCACCAGCAGGCGGGGTTGGGCTAGCTCTGTGCTGCCACATCTACCCCTGGGACTCAGCTGGAGCCGCATGCTGCCGGGGAACTCTGCCTGCCACAGGCCATGATCACCCTGAGGGTCCACCACCTGTTGCTGTGCTGCTGCTGCCGCTGGTGGTGGGGGCTTTGCCCCACGTGGGGTGAGGAGGGCATGTGGCTGG